GTATTATATATAATATAACACATTTATATATTTTTATATAAATACATAAATATATTTATTTATAAATATTTATAAATGTATTATAAATGCATAAATGTATATTTATATAAAAATATAAAAATTATAATTTATAATTTATACATTTATATAATATTCATTTATAATTTATACATTTACACTAATATACACTTATACATTTATAAATATATTTATATTATGTATTATATATAATATAATAAATTTATAATACATTTATACATTTTTATATAAATATATTTATTTATAAATATTTATAAATGTATTATAAATGCATAAATGTATATAAAAATAAAAATTATAAATTATAAATTATAAAAATATCCAAAAAAATGTTTTAAAAATATCTCTAAAAATAATCCAAAAAACATCTACAGTAAAAGTTTTTCATATAGTTTTTGAAAAATAACCTCAAAAACAACTAATCCAAACGGACTTGTATTTCAAAAACGAAATGCTACAGTGCTGTTTTTTAAAAACAACCCCAAAAACAGCTAATCCAAACAAAGCCGTAGTTTTTCCTCTTGATTTGCTGTCCAGAAATTCTAGCCTTTGAAAATGCTTTAAAAGTTGATCTTTTGTTACTTTTAACTTCTCAGATATAACATGCATGACTAGATTTAGGTGTTAGAAAGTATATAGAGGCAAGATGTGTCAATTTACAATCAAAGTCTTAGGGATAAAACTGGAAAAATCCCAGCTCTTCCCCTTGGGTTTCAATAGAAAATTCCATCATTACCATTCAAGTTTTTCTCTTTTAGCTTTTAGATTTAGTACACCAAAACTTGACATTACCCTTTAACAAGTCATATCACATGAATTTACAGTAAAATGACAACAAAATTTTGAAATAAGGGCTATAATTTACCATGATTCAGGGTTGAAAAATTTTATCCCAAAACAGGTTACATGCATGTTGTTTTCAGATTAAAAACTCAACTTCCCTTCTTGATTTATGCATAAATCGTGCAGTATATTATAAATTGACCATAAAGCATGAATCTCCTAAGAAAATCTCAACAAAAATGGAAGCCACAAGCTGAAAAATACAGCTCATACCCTACGGTTCAAACTGAAAATGTCCAGCAAGCTCTCTTCAATTTTTCTCACCAAAACAGCACCTTTCTTACTTAGTTTCAACCATAAATCACACAATAACATATTTATAACATAAGGTAAGGTATTAATCAAGTATTTCCTAGCAAAACTCAACAAAAGTGGCAAATAAAGGCTGAAAATTCACAGCTCAAGTCACTCAGCTCCCTCTTGAAAATTTCAGTAGCCCAAATCCTTACATGCATGCCATATTTTCACCAAGATTCATCTATCAAAAGGATTAAATAATTCCCTAGCAAACTTACCAAAAAAATGAACCAAAAGCTGAAAAGAAACAGCCTTCCTAAGATCGGTTCAAGCTGAAAAATTTCCAGCAACAAACAGATTTCTACTATCGGTTTCCACCTCTATGTATCTTCAAATCAAGCATGCTTCCTCATCTCTCTAAAACATATGAAAAGATTGAAGTTTCTCAGCCATGCTACCTCATTTTTCTGCTACAAATCAAGTTGGAAGTTGGTTCACCTTCCTGATTTCTCCTTGGTTCAAGCAAGCTGGATGGACAGCTTCCTCTCTTGCCTTCACTCTCTATTTTTCTCGGCTAAATGGTTGGTGCAAGACACTGATTTTTCTCTCAACTCTGTCTTGGCTAGAAAATGGAAAGGAGGAGGAAGACTCTCAAGCTCTCTTTCTCTCGGTTGTTTAAAAAGAGAAGAAATGAAGTCAGTTCTCTCAATTCTCTCTCTCTCTCTCTCTCTCTCTCTCTCACATGAATGTATATGGTCAAGACAAGAAAGTGTTGGTTTTAAAACTTTTGTCTTGGTTTGAAAACTTTTGTCTTGATCAAATTTTATACCATTTGGGAAAGCTTTTGTCTTGGTCAAATTTTTCATGCCATTTGGGAAGGACAAAGTGTTATGTGTGACAAGTGTTGTCTTGCATGTACAAGGCAATGTTTTATTATATCTATGAGCCATAGATTTTTACACTATTGCACGAATACCCCACTAGTCTCTTGTCTAATTTGTACTACATTCCATGAATGTGAATCATGCATGCATTTAAAATATTCTAATACACTTAAGTATAAGGCAATCAATTAAACACTCCAATTAATCAATAATAAAGCAAAGTAGCACGTTCAAACTTTCTAGTAATAGTGTTTGCAAATAAGTATAAATTTTTTGGGCTCTCACAGTTATGATGGGTGAGCGATTGTACAATGAGATAAAAGGAATTGAATGGCGCGATCTGTGATACTCCATCCCACATTGAAAAATTAAAGTGATATAAACCAATATATAAGTAGAGGCTGAACACTCAAATTTCACTTAGGATATCCCTTTTGGACTAACAAGGACAGAACCCAAATAGTTGGATTTGGCTACTGAGACTCGATCGCATCTTGGGCCTGCGAGCTTGTAACGTGATTGGATCAATATAAAGACGACTGAGCCAACTTGAGATTTTGATATTATCGCCCCAAACACCAATCTATGTTTTGGTTCTGTCTCAAATTTTGGTATTATCACCACAAATAAAAAAGAATAGAACCATTTGCATGTTTTGGTTCTATCTCAATAAGTTGATAGATTCATGTGTTCTATGGAAATTTCTTACTTTCGTCTAGCATTGTCAATTTAATAGCATACTTTGGCCTTTTTTTTATTGTGATTGTATAGAATATGTGATTTAATTTTGTCATTTTGATTTTTTTAAGTAAGCATGAAGCTAAATAGTTGTACATGATTTTGTATAGGAGTAGTATAAAGAAATTGGAAAAAGACAGTTATTTAAAACCTTCATTTTGAGAATTGCTTTGATATTATATAGAGAAAATTTGTTTTAATCATGTAAATAGACCATTCAGTTATAATTGCGAACAAGTTATATTGAGTTGCTACTAATTCTTTTACCATTAAGAAATACGCTTAAGCTAATAGCTTCTAGGTAAAATTTCAATGAATTTGCATATGCAAGACTTTTTTGTTACTTTCTGAAAGGCTTTCACAAAAATTCTTGTGTAATCAAGATTGAAGTTTTTATTTTGTACATATTAGATCATAAATTAGTAACTGCATCTAATTTCTAAAAAAAAAAAATCAATTGTGTCAAATTTTCTATTTTCAAATGGAATATTTATGAAATCTCTATGAATATAAGCAATCCCTATTTCATGGTATTTACATGAGGTTCTTCTTTAAGTTAAAAAAAGTCTCCGATAGGGCTTAGTTGATCCTTCATTTATTTTTCATCTTTTGTTTTCTTTTCATTTTTTCAAGAGATTTTATCATCAATTCCGATGCTTTCTTTTTCTCTTGATTCTTTTTGCTATTTTTGTTGTTACTCCATTATTCATCTCATTAATTAATTGATTGATTGATATACATGCAGATAATGCTTCACTGGAAGAGTTTTAGATATCAAGACTTGTACAGTAAGATTCGTTGTTCTACCAGATGTTATTAAAATTTAGATACATTGCATTTGGATTGACTACATGAGCGGTGTTATTCATTGCAGTTAGCAGTCTCTTTTGAGACAATGGGAACTTTGCATCCAAGCCAAAAAAAAAAAAAAAATACTTTTTTTTGGCAAGTAGCCAAAATAATTGTTACATGAAAAATTCTACAATATATGTAAGGTACTATGAATTTTTCTTTTACTTTCGTTAGATGCATCAAATGTATCAAATCAACATTTTCATCAATTGTATATTGACATAAGAGTTAATTATTTGAGTAACGTTGCGGGTATTTTTAAGTTATTGGATCTTAAGAAAATAAAAAAGGACTATTGTATTTTCTGCTGTATTTTTATTTTTTATTATATATATTTTTAAAACTATTGTTTTTATTTTTTATTCAGTTAGTAGTTATTGGATCTTAAGGAAACAAAAAAGAACTAAAATATGATATTTATGAAGGAGAAATAGTAACATAATAAAAATGGGACAGAGAATGGTACAGAAAATGATATGTTGCACGCCGTGATGGAAGCAGAAAATTGAATTCTTTAAGAACCTCTAATGCTAGATTTTTGTCATGTTCTAACTATTAGGATCTATGTCATACTTGAAATAGAAAAAAATAAGTGATTTGAGAAAAAATATCATATTTTACCATCTCAAATTTTGTTTGTTAACAATTGATATTTTTTTATTATGAGTGTTGGAGTTTCAACTTTGAAGAGATCATTTAGGAGTTGAGCAAATCTTGTCTTAATTATCTTAGGTTTCAACTTTAAAATTGTTTAGTGTGCATTTGTTGTTATGTTGTATTTATGCTTCTTATTCTTTTTTTCTTTTTTTTGGCTAAGATCTCCATCTTATATGTGTCGAGCAAAAAAAACTAATTGCTATAAAAATACCATATTTTGCACTATTTTTTGGGGTTCAATCACACTCAATACCATTATTACAGTAATCTCTTTTACATTTTATATATCATTTATAGCCTACTATAGGGAACCTTTACCTTATTATATGTCCATGAATTATTCTTAAGAATATTTCTTCCAATTATTGGTTTAGTACATATTCATTTCGATTCTTGGTTTAGTACATATACATAATGTATAATTTTTTAAAAATTAAGTGGCACCAATTGACCCCATTTTAAGGCACGTGGCTCAGGCAATTACCATGAGCTAGAACTGTACCAAACAATATCCAAGTAGCAGCATTAGAGGTTTCATGAACACAACCAAAGGAAAAAAAATTGTGGGTAGTTTTTCTTTAATTTTTGAAGTTAGAGTGAATTTTCATTTTCAGAAACGGGCAAAAACGGGCAAAAGTAGCGAAACGGTTGACCTGCCGACCGAAGCAGTCAGTCACCAGTCAATCCATATGACCGGTCAGCTCGCAGCCGTTGGACCAAATTCCCCCCTACTTCTTTTGCTACACTACACCCACTTGCTTCCAACGCACGTGCTTCTCACGTCACTCTTGCTAGCGATACAAATGCCCCACCAGTTTTCCTCTCAGCAAAGATGCTCAGAACTGAATGATTGAATCATGAATTCCATTTCCTCCCATGGCGGCTTTTCCTCCATTATCCGCCTCAACATCGGTAAGTTCTTCCTCATTTTCCATCTAGATATAATATATAAATATATATATTTATTTATTTATGTATCAGCCAAATTACTTGATCAATCTTGGGAGCAAGCGAGCCCTAATTCTGAATTTTGTTTTATTATTTACATATTTAATTGTAGGAGGGAAGAAATTTTGCACTACTGTGGATACATTAACTCACCGCGAGCCGGATTCGATGCTCGCTGCAATGTTCAGCGGTCGGCATACTCTAAGCCATGAATCCGACAAGGTATATTTTATTAGCATTTCTTCATTAGGACCAATTTGAAGCTGTAGATTTTTTTTTGGTGTATTCAATTATCTATTTTCTTCTGCTCTTAGTAATTTAATTGATGTGCTCTTAGTACAGTGATTTGCTTTTCTTGAAGCAAAGGAGGAAAGATATTAGTGGTTTGTTGATAGTCTGGAGTGAGAATTTTTGGGCTTAGGTAGGAAACTCCTCATATTGTGGAAAATGGTATTGTGTATCTTGTTTTTTTTGGGATTTAAGGAGATAGGAATTTTTTTCTTTTTGCTTTATACTAGTTGCAAGCCCTATCTCCCTGCTCTTGGATTCGGTGGGATCCGATGGTCTATGAGATTGCTCTAGGAACTTTATCATTCTTTGCTGTGTTTGAAGCTGTTTTAGATGAATACTTGATTGGATAATATGGGCAGTAAGTAAATTTGTATCTAGCCAATTTTTATGGCTTAGAAGTCACACCACAAATGGAATTTTCTCTAGGGTCGAGATTATTTTTTACCCCAGTTTTCTTTCAAGCCACTTACAGATACAGGTATGGAGCCACCTTGGTGTGAGGGTGGGCAATTGCCCCCCTCAACTTTGCAAAAATCACAAAATATGCTTAAAAACTTTATAAAATTTTAGGTTTCTCTCACAATTGCCCACCCTTAATTTTAAAACATGCCCTTATCTCTTGACATTGCCCCCCTATAATTTGGAAACTAGTCATCTCTTAACAGCCAATTTATTTCTTTTAGGTATCTCTTCTACGGTCCAATTATTTCAAAGCTATTAATTATGCTACATTTAATTACCATTTGAATGAGAAAGATTATAGGAAGTGGAACAAGAGGCTTTTTTTAATTTCATTTTAAGTGTACAATCTTGCCCCCACTGAGCCAAAGTCCTAGCCAAAGTCCTGGCTTCACCATTGGTACTATAAATACAGTTGCACCCGATGTTCCTCATTCTGAAGGCATGACTGTCAATGCTAGTTCCCATGTATTGTAGTTATGAACTCATCTGTTATGTTATGAATTAAGTTGTTGTTTCTTTAGTGTTACGACTTACTAAAGCCCTTGATAGTTCAATTTGGGAACTATCTAATAGAAATTAACAGCAGAGAATTCTTTTTAATCTTTGGGCTGGAGTCAAAAGAGTAGAAGCTTCTTCTTTTGGTAACTTAAGTTTAAACTATTTTCTTTCACTCAATGTGCTGCAGGGATATGTTTTTGTGGATAGGGATGGAAAACATTTTCGGCATATTTTGAATTGGTTGAGGGATGGTGCTGTCCCAATGCTGAAAGATTCTGAATATTTAGAGCTTTTGCGGGAGGCGGAATATTACCAACTACTTGTGAGTCATTCTGTTGGATTAATTTTCTTGTTTGATGGAGAACAACTTGCATACCATTTGTGTCTGCATTGCCTTTTGAATGCAGAAAGATAAAGTTGCGTTCCTTGTTTCATCTGCCATTCTCTAAGTTTCTGGCTGTACTATATGATACTTTTGGAAAATATTTTGGTGCGTTAGGTTTAGAAGTTGTTTTCTATTTGTGTATTTAGAAATCAGTTCCTGTGCTTTGAATTTTTAGGTTTCTAAATCATCTCCTCTCATGCTAGAACAAAATCGCTAGAACAAAATTGATTGCTCTATTCTCTCTAAATGTATGGCAAATTTGTGTCGGAACTTCTCTGTCTGTCTGTCTGACTCTCTTTCATTGGAACTTCGTACTTGAATATCAATTAACATCTGATTCTATGTTTTTCAACTAGTAAACATGCTGTTATGGATAACTTCATCCTCTGAAGAAGATGAAGATGCTCTTATCTCCTCTGTCATATGATTAACTACAGGGACTGATAGATGGAATTAAAACTGCTCTAAGTAAGAAGAAGGAGGAGGAGGAATTGGGTACGGAATTGACTCGCATTGATATAATCAAATGCATACAGTCCGAGAGAGTTAGATTCCGAGGAGTTAATCTTTCTGGTCTTGATCTTTCTAAGCTGGTGAGAATTTGCAACTCTTGTATGCCTGCTCGTTGTAATGTAATGTGTATTTCATCTGTAGTATAATCTTATTGATCGGTAAGATTAATAGGTTTACCATAGAAGTATTTTCTAGATGTAAATGATTGAATTAAAGGGAACATGAAGAAAAATGCCTGGAAAAGTTTGTAATGCATTAAGCATCCAGCATAACTTTTTCAAGGACCTCTGACTATTAGTTGTAATTATGTCCTTCCTTCATTTATTCTAGATGTCTTACCTCTGACTTTTTCAAGCATCCAGAGTATGCTTCATTATTCATTTCTAGTTTATGATTGTGGTCTCCTGGGTTGGGGATGCTGGGTCTTTGATGTTTTCAGGACCTGTCATATGTGGACTTCGGCTATGCATGTCTTAAAAATGTATTCTTTTCACGTGCAAATCTCCACTGTGCAAAATTCAAGGTAAGCATTCTTTTTCTCTTCTCCCACTCATATTGGTTTTTGCCTTCTAGAATTTACTGTTCATCAAATACATGTTTATGTTTATCCTGTAAATTAAAGTTCTTTATTTATATCACATGTAAAAAATTGGACTCTTAAGATTCTGAATTGCTTTTTTACCTTTATGATTTGGTCTTTAGATCCTTTTGTTGTTTCTTAGTAAAAATGTTGGTCATATGGGTTTTAAGGTTCTGTTTGTCAGAGGCGATTATTTTCTGATTGCTTTATACTCCTTATGTGAATTTTTGTTTCCTATACTACAGGTAATATTTTTCATCTTTATTACAGGATGTGGATGCTGAGGCTTCCATTTTTCACAATGCAACTTTGCGCGAGTAAGGTTTTCATGTTGATTTTCTTTGCATCATTTTTTTTTGTTTTCTTTGGGTATATGACTAAGTAGAATAATTTTCTGAATATTTATTTGAGGTTCTAAGTAAAGTGTCTGCTGTCAGTTTGTGTCTATTCTTTATCCTTTCAAGTACATTTATGTATTTTGACATACCTGAGAAAAATCTTGTTTTGCCTAGGGAAGATGCGAATTTACTGGAGCCAACCTTCGTGGAGCTTTATTAGCAGGTGCCAATCTTCAAAGTGCAAACTTACAAGGTAATTTGTTGCTTCTTGTTTGCAATTACAGGATATAAATACCTTCTTTAACAAATCCTGTCACCATGTTTCTCAATAATTGTTGTAGATTTGGCGTTCCTTCCTTGGAAGGCACCACTGATGACGTAACGTACATGGGATTCCTGGCACTCTTGCAATCATTAGTCGATATAGTCTTTCTGGCAACTGGTAGATAAGTAACATAATATGCCCGTTCTTATAAGTGAAGCCTCTTTTACTTTTAGCGTATACAAGGATATGACTTGTATAATGTAACAAGCAATCTGACATGATGATATGATGTTTTTCTTTTGCTAATAATTTGAACTTAGGGAGGGGACTGCAATATTCTTTCTGATGCAGTCTGGGCCATAACATAGGTCCTCAACAATTATAACTTCACAGGCCACCAGCCAAAGCAGCTGCAATATGCACAGAAGTTATTGGCAAAAAGTATTCTGGTTACTTTAAACAAAAATATTTGCACTAGAAATCTGTGTTGTCTTAGAAATTTTGTGATCAAAGGGGTCTATCCTCCATGTACGATATCTTTTGGATCTTTGAGCAATTGTCTAATATAAGAAGTCTAAGCATAGCAACTGTGTGATCTAAAAAATCTAAAGGTCCTCATTTTATGAACCCTAGAGATCTGCATTTGAGGCAACCTTGCTGTTCATAAATATGGTCATGGTAAAGGTCCTCATCATTTAAAGTTTTGCTAATCTTTTTTATTCCCCCTCTCCTCACTGCGGTTGATCTTTGCTAGTTTCAAAATAATAAGATAGAATAAAGGAATGGTGGCTAGCTGTTTAAGCAAAAGAAAGAAAATAAACAGGAAACGTTAAGAGATATTAGCTGTTTGCTTAACAGAGGAGATGAAGGTAATGTATCAAATACGTTTACAAGAAGCAAAGAAAGAAAGAAAGTAGAGTATGAACGTAAAAGTGAATTTGAGTGCAGCCACATGTATGTTCACTTTGATTGAAAAAGGGAAATGAGATGTTTTGAGGGAGAAAGAAGTTACAAGTAGATGCTATTTTAGCATTTGTGTCTTGTTGACTGACTGGTTACTTGGAAATCAGATCATGACAAGGAAATGATGTCATTTCAGACATTATGAGAAACAGTTCTTATAACAGTTCATTCAGTTAGGATGGTTTTTTCAACTTGCTAGTAGGCTACAGTTTCATTAAACTTTGATTCTCTCTCTTTCTGTTAGTGTTTAATTGAATAAAACAAGCATGGTTAAATTGCATTACACTTGACCTATGGCCTGCTTTATTTCCACATGGAAATAGGTCTTACACTCATAATGCTAGTGGACAAGATAGGAAAGATCTTGCCTATTAGTGCTAGTTGAAGAATGGGAGGATCTTGGGGCTGTTGCAGGGTTGTGAAGAGTACCCCTGAACTGTTGTGGGCGGAAAGAGGGGAAACAGAACAAAGCAACTGCTAAAGAAAAAATTTAATTCATTATTCATTCATCTATTTACCTAGAATGTCACAGGAACACGTATTTTAAGCTATAAACTTTTATAGAAAGAAATAGAACTCCTAGTTTCTGTTCTAAGTAGGAAAGCAAGCTAGTTGTAGAACTTCTCTAACATTTACTACCCCATCTAGTTACCTAGTATAATAAATAACAAAAAAAAAAAGACAAAATGGCATAGTTGCTGGAAATTTCCTGAGAACAAGTACAAGACCAAAATAGAGCAAATTATTCAGATGGCCATTGAACTTTTGGAATCGTCGAGTTTTGGCCACTGAACTATTAAAAGTCTGGTTTTGGCATTGAACTATCTAAAGTTTAGATTTCGGGTCATTTCGTCAGATTTAGTCGTTAACTATGCCCCTTTTGTCTTGTGAATGGTGCGAGCAGTCAGATCTGTCATATTTAATGTTTAAATTTGATGGAATGGCCTGAAATCTAAACTTTAGATAGTTCAGTGGTCAAAACCAGACTTTTAATAGTTCAATGATTCCAAAAGTTTGGTGGCCATCCAGATAATTTGTCACCAAAATGCCCCTTAAGACCTAAAATTGTAGAAAGTTTTAAACCTAAGAAAATAAAACCACATTGAAACTTAAGGACACTTAAAGGATGTATTTTTGCTGCCAATTAGGCTGTTAATCTTTAAGGGATGCTTAGAATATCATGAAAATCTTTTACTTTTAGAATTCCTTGAACCCTTGGTTGATTACATAACTATCTTCTTTCTGTTTGTCTGCCTTTGTAACTGCATCTAAGTAAAGCATCATTTTTATATTGTTTATGATCATTCTTGCAGATGCATGCTTGGTAGATTGTAGCTTTTGTGGGGCAGATCTGCGATCAGCGCACTTACAGGTGAAATATTCTCAAGTTTAACTGGACTGCTCTCATTCATGTTTTCTTGTTTCCTCAGTGCATCTGTCAAACATATTTTCATGAAACAAAATTGCCATTTGCCTCAGTGCATCTGTCAAGCACGTTTTCATGAAATAAAATTCCCATTTGCCGTTCCTCTTCCTTCGGAATTCTTTGCAGCTGTTGTATTACAATAAATTATGTTTAACACACATGCAGTGATGCACAACATACATGAAGATTTGTTGTGCCTCACACATATTGCATTGTTTGATCTTTGAAATTTATGGTAAAGGAATACAATGTTTTCTAAGGGCATTAACCATAACATGGATGAGATAAAATTTAAAGTTTGCAACTGTGTAATGTCATCTTTGAGAAAATAGTTTTTTATGGCATGTAAACATAGTATTGTGATTTAAACAAAATGGATTAGAGTGAGGGTAAGATTACTTACCTGTGTTTCCCCTAAAGGGAAATGGATAGTTTGAGTGAATATGAAATCAAATTCGTCCAGTAAATTGGGATAGATAGCTGGAACTGCTGAAGATTACATCCTGGAGGAAAACTTGTGGAGTTTAATCTGAAAGATTTCATACTTAATGTTACACCCCTCTTTGCTCTCTCTGCTTGCTATGGCTGACTTGAAATCTGAACTCAGGTTTACAACAAATCAGGTATTTAAATGTTAAGTCACAGAATATCTGCACATTCATAGAAAGGTGACAGTCCCACAATATTGATGAACTAATTCAGTTAAAGTTGTCAAGATGTTGTACTAAGTGCTTAGCAAAATTCTGAACAAATACTTCGGACCATTATTGTACATCCACTTTCACAAGAGAAGTTTCATGAAGGTTTTAGCTTCTACTTTGCCTGAGGTTCATTCTAAATAATGCTGCTAAAATTTTGGGACAATGGCTAATTGTAACTTTGAGAACTTTGTAGCATTTTAATCTTTAATGAGTTTTTCATGCAAACTATGATGTAGTGATGGAATTTGTATGTAGAAACTTCTCTTTCCAGCACGATGAAACCAAAGCTTTTGAGAGCAAGTTGGTATTTTGTTGTGATTGTGATATAACTTGAATAAATCTAGAACATTTTATTTAGGACAAATAACTATTGATTTTGTGTTTGGACCGGGTTCTTCTAAGTGTTGTATTTGTAACCAAAGGCTATTTTTGCATAAATAATTTAAAGAAAAGGAAAACCTTAAAGTGCCTTTGGCCCTATTGGACTTAGCTTCTCATTGATGGAAGTCCATTTTCAAGATACTTTTTAAATTGTACCTCGCTAATTAGCATTTAGAAGATATGTAGCATTTGTTGAATATGCATGTCGTAAGTGCTTTTAATCTAAAGTTTCACTTATTAGGCAAATCCTGTTACGGTCAAACAACTTGAGGACAACAAAATGACTTGTTTGACACTATATATTGCCCTTGCTTATCATTTGTCATTATGCTAAAACCTCAATATTTTTTTTATCAAGAACCTGGGTAATTGCTTAAATGGTGGTAGATTGTTCTTCGTTTAAAACATAAAAATTTAGAAGTTTGTCCTTTATTCTTGACAATCTTCTGAAATCAACTGGAATTTGGAGTGTCAGTTTTGTATATCAATCCATACGTTTTGATAGATTGATACATTTAAACAGAAGGGCACATATATTTTAGGATATTTGCATTTGCTTAACTTGTAACAGGAATCTAGGAATTTTTGGATTTTGGAGTATGAATTCATTCGATATTTTGGTAGTTGGAGGATTGATTCTAGGTTTGAGTTAGCTTTATGATGTTGAGAGGAAAGTACTTGCATCTGTTTTGTGGGATTAGAAACAGAGATGAGCTGCATGGGTAGTGGTGCCACTGCCTTCATGTTTCATTTGAGCACTACAAGGTTGTTTCTGTTAATTTTATCACTAAATGTAAATGATGTCAACGTCCAAAAATTAGTAGAGAATGTGAGGTTAATTGGAAGATGGAATAGGTTTTGGTGGCTGTCCATCTTTATTTTGAGTTGCAAAATGTGCTAGGATTTATGGGAGGAGAAATAAGAAGGGGAAGAAAGAAGAATCGGAAAAATAAAAAATAGGAATAAGAACAAAAGAAGAAATCCATTGAACTGATAAAAATACAATGCCTCTGAAAGAAATTGTGCAACTCACATGAGGTACTTTATATTAAACTTAGTGGAGATATGCGGTGGAATAAACATACAAAAGTTAAATGATCAAATTGAGTCTAAGCAACTCACATGAGTGTTTTTTTTTTTTTTTGAACTTAGTGGAGATATATATGGAATGGGTGAAAATATTAAACAAACAAAAAATGATCAAATTGAGTCTAAAAGTAATTGAGAAACTAAAATGAGACATATGAAGAAGTTTAAACTGGCCATCTTGTGCACTTTGCCCTATTAGATATTAAAAGAACATCAATGTTGAATTGGATATTTGACTTTTATTCAAGTGGAGTCTGGGATATGTTTGGACGTCCCCAGGAAGTCGATTCTAGGGAAGGCATCTCTAATTGGTGAATTGACTTCGTAGTGCATGTAAATTAACCACCAAATTCTTAAAAATTTTCCAACTGGTATTCCATATTGAATGGGATGCTAGGGAGGCAGTTTATCATTTCACATCATGAAACCTTGCATTGAATATTTGTGCCACTTTGGCTAATAAGTTTCAAATTCTTAATTGCCTTTTTTCTTTTAATGCCTAGATTTTTAAGATTTTTTTTAATAAAAACATGTATAAATGGAAATACATTATCTGGAACAAGGGTTATTTATCAAAGATTGGCTTTCTTATTCAAAATTTAAATAGTATTGCTGTTTTGAAATTACTTCCAAGGATACATAAGTCGATTTTGAAAATAGAATTTAAAGTTGACTTTGTCTGTGTTTGTTCCCAATATTTGCTTGTTCTGAATGTTTTCTTGATGAAATCATTGCGACTACTTTCCTGTCCTTCTCATTTTGGGCTGGGCAAACTAGTTTTCTTGAAAATGTTTGTGAACACAAGGGCTGTGATCAGAGAGAGACAAATTGGTGTGATCCAGACATACAAGACTAACAAATTGAAGCCTGGGAAGGTATAATATTGATAATGAGAGCTTCAAATCATAATCACCCCTTCATTGGTACTTACCAGTAATATGGCTTAGGTAATATGTAAAAGAGTATTGGGAGTTTTTGGAGAGTGGTTGTTGTTGTTGTCTGATCGGTGGTATTGCCTTTAAAGTGAAAGGAGGCCAGAGGTAATTAATTCTCAATTGAGGAACAAGAAGGGAAATAGAGAAGAAATTGAGGGGGAAATTGCAGTGGGTCTGAGGAAGGAGAAATTTGGAGTATTTTGAGTAAAGGGAAGGAAGAAGATATGTAATCTTAGTACAGTAGTTGATTTCTTGAATATCGACTTTGAAGGAGATTGAGAAAAAGTCAACTTTAAAGTCAATTATTAGGACATCGACTTCTATTCTTTGGGAAGCCAGTTGAGAACATCAATGTATTTCTAGTTTCTTTTTTAATTAAAAAGCAATATTCACAGTAACCCTTAAAATGAACATATTTTGGAGACAAAGACCAATTGGGGATGTGCAAAATAATTGTAAGTTATGTGTGTGTATATTGTACAAAAGGATCTCATGATGGATAGAAAAGTCGACACTGCTGGTTATCATAGTTGTCCAAGCAAGGAAAAGGGATATAATGGAAAAATTGAACAGCACATTGGTTTCTCTTTTATGTGGACTTGCCCTTTTCTTGATTCCCATCTTTTGCTAAACTTGCTTCTCGACTTTGCTTGCTTTAAATTGTCAGACGGCTGATCTTACAAATGCTAACTTGGAAGGAGCTAATCTGGAAGGAGCCAATCTAAAGGTAAGTGGTGCCTTTTGTTGTTTGTCAATGCTTATAAGAGTACCAATTTTCTTTCTTTCTTTTTTAATTATTTGGCAATTTTCATATGAATGTACAGATTGTTTATTTGTGTGCTTCCAGGGTTAGTGAGTGTCTGAAGTTGGGTTTAGTGATTTCATTTTAAGTTGAGAATGGTATTTGTTGTCTTCAATTACATGATCTTGGTTTTAAATGGATATTCTACACTTCATTATGTATACTATCTAAATACTAGTTTGAAGTAGGTTGTTTATTGTTAGTAGTTTTGTACTTCAGTCTTTAAATTGGACTTTTCTGTTTGTCTTGGCACATGTTTTTAGGTGAGGATTGAATTAATATACTAGTAGTTTGGGTGGGACAAAGTGGACAGCCTGGAGGACAGTTCGTTTCTTTATCATCTTTTACATATGACAAATTGATAGTAGGTCTCAAATCATTTTCGTAGAGCTTTTGCATGAACTTAACAACTGGGTGCCAGAAAGAATTATTCCATAATGTGCATCTCTCGTTGAACATTGCAGGAAAATAGGGTCTTAGCTCAGCCCTCGTATGCTTTCCCCTTTCCCACTAAGCAATTTTTGATGATTAAAGAAGAGGAATATTCTCATCATGTCATTGGTTGTATAATTTTGAAATTATGTGTAGTGTTGTTCTTCTGTTATTCATTGGACTGCCCTGTGTTATTAGTGGTGGGAGACGGTTATTAAGCATTGTTCCATTTTGAGGAGTGTATTGTCATTGGAACCTGGTGCTCTCCTTGTTTGGGCTTTAGAATACCAGCACCAGTTCTTATTACCCAAATCATATAAAAGATATCACTTGGCAGTGGGTGAGGTCACTTAGCAGCCATCAGACCTTGATAAGTTTTTGCATCAAATAACTTTTATCGCCATTGTAATACAGCCTTTTTTCTGATCATTTTCTATATTGTACATTATTTTACTTTTATAATCTACTGTCTATTGACAAGGAACAGAAAGGAATGAATGAGAAAAAATGGGCTGCTATAATTTCACCGGTAGTATTGCTTTTGCATTTTCTTTCTAGTTGTGCACTTGAAGCATGTTCCTGGTTGCTGAATTATATGCTGGTTTACCCAACTGAACGTCCTGTACTCTTATGAAACTTGTTGCCCAAGTGCTATTTCTTATGAGATGCAAGATTATAGTGCCTGCTGCCTCTTAATTTGTGTGGCCTTACAATGCTATCAATTGGACATCCAGATAACTATAAATTGGTGTATTTGATTTTAAACTTCAATAGTGATGTTTGATTGTTGCACATTCAGAGCCACTGGTGATTGTATCCACATTCTTTTTTGTCTCTTTGTTTCTTTTGTCTAGCTACTTGGGTTACCTCTAACTCAGCCCCTCTATTCTCCTCCATCCAGGGTGCAAAGTTAACTAATGCCAATTTGAAGGGTGCCAATCTCCAGAGAGCTTATCTTCGGCATGTGAATCTTCGTGAGACAGTAAGTAAAAGTTGTCCATGCATTTCCTTCTTTTTAACTCATGTTTATAAAGCGAATGTAGGTACCTACCATAACAAAGCTGTTGCCAGTCTTTTCAATATAGTATTTTTATCCTTCATTCATAGTGTATCTGTATTGGAGTACATGGAGATTATTTGTGTTTGATATGCTAGCTTTAGTTCTCTCTGGTGTGTGGTGTTAGTTTCTTGAGGGGGAGAGGGAGGGGATTTTGGGTCAATTTTTTGTTCTTTTAAAAGCTTTTATTCCTGCATGGGAAAAATATAAAAGCAAAACTACTGAAAAGGCTTAAGATTCAAATCTGAAATTGTGTTGCTATTGCAAAATATTCTTATGTAAAAGGACAAATGAATATTCGTGAAGTAGTACAACATATTTTACAATTCCAGCTTGCATTGCTTAGAATAAGAACTATTGGATCTTAACAAAATGATGAGGGAGCAGGGTCTCGATTAGTTCAGGCTATTGTATGACATAATATTTGGACTTTACCATCTTGGTGCTGGTTGCAAACACTTCTATTGTCCCTGTTGTTTTACCCTTCCTCTCTGTTCTCCAAAGAGATGGAAAAATGAAAAGAAGATGACAACCAAAATTTATATAAAAAAAAAAACTCCTCCATCCCAATCTGTATTGTGCTTCTACAGAAATGTACTTAACATGCATCTATGCTGAACTTATTGAGAAGATTGCACGGTCCCATGGTATGAAATAGAACCTTTTTGGCCAACTATATGAGGGGTAAATGAGGGAGTCAGATTTAAGTTGTTTGCTATTTTGGGTAGGTACCAGAATTTTGGGACAACTGAGAATAAAAGCATGACAGTTTCAATGGGACAGAGAGTTCAAAAAAGTGGGGGAAGGGAAAACCTATCCTGCTCTGGAAAGATGCTTGCTTCTTACTCCAAATGGAACTTGTTCATAATAAATAGGATGTTGAACGACCCTTTCCAGCTATTTTTCTGGTTTGTCTTCATATGAGGCAACAAAGCTGTTTTGAAGTTTTGCTCAAAGTTTATGTATTTTATTTTTCATTTTTTTAATGGAAGCTAGGCTCAAAGAATGTAGACATTGGAAGCCGCCATTTTCTTGTCATTTTAGTGGTTATATTCTGTTTATTTGATATCATGGAAAAGAACTTGAGATTGTGTAAGCTGGTCATTTAATTTTCTTTTCAGCAGTTTTAAGCTTTGCAATTGTCAAGATGTTGTCTTGCAAGAAAAGAAATTAAATACAATCAAAATCATTTCAGTCATGCATTGATGAAGTTAGTAATGTGTTCTGACAAACAAGTCATTGTTTAGATCATTATTGTCAGATGCTAAGCTATTTTGGTTTCCAAAAAGGAAAAGCCGGAGCTGCATTGTATCATTCTTTGATTATACATTATGCCCCTATTCGCTTCTCTCTCTCTCTCTCACTCTCTTGCACACATGCGCGCGCACACAGATGCAACATATGCATGCACAAATGCACACAGAGACCCCACATGAACACATAATGTAGTCTACATTTTGTTAGACAGATTCTGAGCATCTGGAATTGCTCTCACTCTGAATCCCACCTCTTCCCCTCCCCTCAAGTGCTTGCACCAAATAAAACATCATTTCGGGAAAAGAGCTTTTTCGAATAAAGCTACAAGGCTTGTTGTAACAGGAATTTAGTGCAGTTTGTCACAGGATGAACATCATAGACAAATTTGTTTTGCTTGTTAATATTTATTAACTTCTTGATTCAGCTAGTTCCTATGAACATTTACTAGCTCACTGCTTCATTCACTATGGAATATGTATATCTTATTTGACTGAATTAACTATCTTGATGCTCACAGCAATTGGAAGGTGCAAAGCTTGATGGTGCCAATTTGCTGGGAACAATCAGGTGATGAACAGATGTACAACATGGTGGGCATGTAAGGCATCCGTCCGGCTATATGTAATATATATATATATATATATCTATTTCTGTGTTATTTTAATTTGCCAATCCAGGATCTTTACTGGCGATGTTGGAAATGGAAGTAGAGACATAAGGATCCTAGCTTATCTATTTGTTCAGCAACCATACGATGCCCTTAGTTGTGCTTGATTTATTACTTGATCAAAATATGTGCGAAAACGTTTTCCATTTATGAGGAGTCTCAGCAAACTGTTTTAGAGATTGTCAAAGTTTCAGTATCATGCAGAAGACCGTCTGGTGCTTGGTACTTGTTCCATAACATTTCTTTTTCTTCCTATATGAGAATATGTTCTCGTCTGCTGTTTCCAAAGTAGAAGGAAGGGTAAAAAAATAAGAAGAGGAATCTATGCCTTTTTTCCATTCGAACAAATGCCGTGTACCAAAGTTCTTAAGCTGAGAGTGCACTGCGTACTATGTGCACTGAACTCTGGTAATGGCTTAAGGACTATGATATATGGTCTCAGCTATTAGCATCCTATTCGAATTTTGAGGTGGTAATCTCATTGAATTGAACCCGGAGGTGCATGGATGAGTGGTGATTTATTGTGACCCGACTTGTTAACATAGAACCTGTACTAGGTTAAGGATTAGATTTGGTAAGAAATTAGTTGACACAATCAAGGCATCTGATAAACTTAATTTTAGTTGGATGTTGCATAACAAATGCAATAGATCTTTTGTATCACTTCCTGTGCCACTTTCTGTCCCATTTTTTATTATATTACTATTTCTTCTTCAAAAATATCATGTTTTAATTCTTTTTTATTTCCTTAAGATCTAATAACTATTAACTGAGAAGGATATGGCAATAAAAGATTTGTAAAGATCAGTTGCTTCTTTCAAGGTACAGTGAAACCTCCATAAAATAAGACAGGATAAATTAATAACCTTTATTAAATAATAGTTTTTCCTAGTCCCAATTTGGGCTAACGAGCTAAATTAATAATTTTGATAAAAAATAAAATAATAAATTTTCGGAAAACTTTATATAGTCCTTTGGTCCGGTTCATATAATAAATAAATAATTTACTAAAATTACATATTATAATTTTCTAAAATATGAGTTGATTGTTGTTTGTTCTTTTCTTAAACTAAATCTAACGTAAAGCATTATGTGTGTAAGTATAATAGAAAACATTCCACGTGCATATTGACATCTATCTTTTTGATATCTATCATTTAGTATTCCTAAATCTTTTTGACATCTTGATAACAGGAAAGTGTTATCAATTACAACATAATTGAAGATATTGATAGAATTAAATTATATTTATAAATGAAGCAGATATGGATTGGCTTATATTCCTTAGATAGAATTTTAAGTCCACTCAATAAGTTAATAAATTATTAATTTATCGATTAATTAATATCTCTTTAAATTAATAGAATTTGTATGGTCTCAAGAATATTAATTTATAGAGGTTTTAAGGTAATTTGATGGGGAGATTAGCCATTAGAACCTTTAATTCTTGAAGCCCATGGTATAGTCCATAAAGCTCATTTCAAACATGTTCCTTTAGAGTTCGTTTGATTTTATTGAAAGCTATTTAGATTTGAAGGAAATTGTGATCTTGAGCAAAAAGGCTGGACAACTAAGTTAGGTATTAATAGCTGGGAAAAATTGAAACTTCACAAAGTGTCCATGAGCTTTTTACAACTATCTATCAGTATACGAAGGTGAAACATTAACTTGTAAGTCCACATTTTAATAATTAATAACAGTTTTTTCTTATACATATTTATCTTGTTTTATAGCATTATACCTAAAATGTTGTTGTTCTATGTATCATATTTCATATCTTAAAAGATAATTTCTTGTATGTAAAACATCGGTGACGAGTGTTATGTACTCAACTCGTGGGGTAAGCGAGGGGAGGGAGTGGAAGTGAGAGAACTCAGGTTTAAGACTTTGGACTTATTAAAAAAAAAAAGAAAATTCATGGGGTAAGCAATTTATCTCGCCCCTTTCCTTTAAAATAGGAATGGCATTTATCTTTTGAAAATGGCTATTTTGAGAAATGACTATAAAATAATATCAAGAACAGGTGAAGAATGTGTGCAATCATGTCTATCAAGAATGCTTAATTCATGCAAAAGGTAAGTCAAAAGAAATTACTGTAAATTTTTGTTGAATAAGAAAATATGCTATGATCCTTGCGATTACGTTCAGGCATATATATGTTTCCCGTCTCTTTTAAGCATTACTTGGCAATAATACATAAACAAATAAATCTTGCAATAAAAGGAAATAGAAACCTAATTACAACTCATAAAATGACAAATATAACTTACCTAACTTCCAAAATGTAAAATTTTTCAGACCAAAGAGTTGAGAATTAAGGTAAATTCAAATTTTAAAGGAATTTAGTGAAAAATGAATGAGACGGAGAGAGTATAAAACTTCTCGTTAAATCTTGTGCTTTCAGGACAAATTATGCTACCCTAAAATTTCAATCATAATTCACCTATATCACACCCTGGTTGAACAATTCTTGTGCATTATTGGTCTATATGTAATGGTAGCTTCAAAAGTTGCATTATTCTTGTATAAGATACAAAGTTTTGATACACATAATACAATCACTTAAACAGCAGTTCGCCTAATTTGATCTTTTGATCAAAAGTTACATCCAATTTGCCAAATTTCTACAAGAAAAGTCTTTGATGGATAATGCTTTGACTTTAATTGACCCCTAGTAAGGAAAAAGTAATATCTTCAAGCCAACCATGATTATCATTCATAAGGTGAATCACATCCATAGGTCCTTTTTTTTGTCCTTACATTTTATCTTTCCCTTCTTTTTGGGCTTTTAGCGTTTAATAAGGTGGGGAAGTGGTTTATTGGTCTCAAATCAAGCCACTAACCTTACCAATTGGACATTCAAGCACCCTTTAAGATGGTGAAGAGGAGGTGGAATGCAGTTAAGAGTTGTGTGCCACAGGCTGTGTAAATAAATATGGTCGGCATGGGATTGTTGTTTCAAGGATTTACAAGTGTCCGACCTTCCAAATCTGTTCTATTCTTCTAACCCCGGTTCTTACAATATTCTGAATAATTTGTAGTAGTTGACTATGTTTTTACTCATTAGAAACATAAAATTCATTCCCCCCCCCCCCCCCCCCCCCAACAAAAAAGAAAGAAAGAGAGAAAGTCGCAATGTACAGCCTCAAGAGAAAAAGTTAAAATTGATTGCTAGTGATCATGGTTATAAATTTTGGATAAATGCTTCCTATATTGTTAGAGTAAATCACTTTTGACACTAGCCAGTTTAGATTCTTGACGCTTGAATTTTTTACACCAAAAGTGCATCAAACACTAACCCGTGAACTTTTAAAATATTAACCTCAAGCAAGTACTAAAAAAAAAAATTTCGAGCAAGTATTTGCTAGTTAAATAAGTTTACTATGTAATTAAACTATTTTATCCAAACCAATGTTGTGTTGGAGACAAAACAGGAGCCACCATGTTGACCAAACCGTTTTTAATGTATGGTAGCCATTAAATGGGGCAGTCAGCCAATTTGAGAACTGTATAACAAATTTTGCCCAATTTTTTTTCGAAACGGATCTTTTGTCCTATATCCTGTGCCATTTTCTGTCCCATTTTTTATTATATTGCTATTTCTCCTACATAAACACCATATTTTAGTTCTTTTTTATTTCCTTAAGATCCAATAATTATTAATTGAGTAATATATAAAATTTAACAAAGTCAAAAAATCAAAATGCATAAAATATGAGATTTTTTTATGAATTTTCTGCTGTATTTTTTAATTTTCTATTATATATTGCTTTTTTGAAACTGTTATATTTATTTTTTTATTCAATTAATAGTTATTGGATCTTAAGAAAACAAAAAAAAGAATTAAAACATGGTGTTTATGTAGGAGAAATAGCAATATAATAAAAAATGGGACAGAGAATGGCATAGGGTGTGATACAGAAGATCCGTTGCGATCTTTTTGCCTTATTAATAGAATTAGATTTCAAGCTAATAAAATTTAGACCTACTCAGGTATATCTCGAGTTATTTTACTAAAATGCATCCTTATCTAATTAATTAATTTCCAATTTTGAGCCAGACTGTCACAAAAATAGTAAGACTTTTGCGTCGTCACTCTTATCCGTGACTTGCTGAGAAAGAAGAAAAACATTCAACTTCTCATCTGACTTTGGGCTGGCACATTGACTTAAACTTTAAATGCAAGTACTACAAATCCCTATAGGAAATGCCAGATGACTGACTAGCAATGGATGAATAAAAGCCTTCTTTTCCTAACTTTAGTCCCCTTTTATTTAAACTTTCACATGTTCATCATCAAGTCAGCCTGTTTGGGGCTTTAACAAAAGTCACCCCTCCAAGCAAATTTACACACACAAACACACACAGAGACACCCCACATGCATAAAAGAGAGAGATAGAGGAAGAGAGAAAGAAAGAAAGAAAGAAAGAGAGATAAGAGGGATATGGGAAGACCTCCTTGCTGTGACAAAGTTGGCATCAAGAAAGGTCCATGGACCCCTGAAGAAGACATCATCTTGGTATCTTACATCCAAGAACATGGTCCTGGAAATTGGAGATCAGTACCGACTAACACTGGTAACAGTTAACCACAATCAATCAGTCTAGTTCTTCTTCATGTTTTAGCTCAAATTTTCCACTAAATTTATATGGTTGCTTTATTTGCTATAAGGGCTGCTGAGATGCAGCAAAAGTTGCAGGCTTAGATGGACCAATTACTTGAGGCCTGGGATCAAAAGGGGCAACTTCACTCCCCATGAAGAAGGAATGATAATCCATCTTCAAGCTTTACTGGGAAACAAGTACTTTTTTGACTCATCCTTCTGTAATTTTAATTAAAACAAGTTTTATAGTAGTACCTTTGTTTCTAGGACGTACTCTCTTGAGCCTAGCATGATTTAGGACCTCTCTATCGGCATAATTATCCGTTTAACTTACAAGTCTAAACTAAAGATCGTATTATTTCTATGCATAATACTCTCTTCCTCTATCTTATATTCGTTTTCCACCATTACCAAGTTGTCTTTATAGGAAGAAAAGGCATCAGATATTACATGACTGTATACTTTTCATTGTACAGATGGGCAGCCATCGCCTCCTATCTTCCACAGCGAACAGATAATGATATAAAGAATTATTGGAATACTCATCTGAAGAAGAAGATCAAAAGATTTCAAGCAGGTTCTG